TAGCCGTGCTGGAGCATTCCCAACTGGATTGCAGAGAGTGATTTTTTTCCCAGAGAAGTCTGGTACCAATTTTTCGACCCCGGAGGGATGAGAGGCTTGGTTGACCCGGAGCGGAATCGAACTACCACCATGTTTGTGATGGCGGACATCACTGCTACTGTGCTATCCGCTTCTCTTTGAGGTTTAGATGTTTAAAATATCCTGTACTTTCTAACATTCGAGTATCAATATGTCGGTTTCAAAACCATAGCAGTAATCTATTATTGCGAAGTAATTTCTTACCACTGCCATTGGTAGTTCAACTGCGTCCTCCAGTATTTTAAAGGTCTAATCTATGAACTGCCTCAACTTGTTTTCAGCGAGTTCCTTCTTGATAACACACTAGTGATATGTTTACCACCTAAGGTTCCGTTTTTTTTCGTTTTTATTTTCTCTCTTTCTAAAGTGAAGTGTTCGAACTGTGACTCTCAATCATAATGCTGTTTTTTTCTCCAAGTTTTCCTTTTTCACCATTTTTCTTACATTAGGGGGAAATTCGAACCAACTACTATCTCTGTACTAAATATTACTAGGTAGACAGTTTTCTAAAACCTTGATAATGGAATTAATAGAATACGATACAACTGAAACAAAACATTTTGTGTCTGCTTAGTATAAAGCAGCTGTACTTATAGTTGCAAATGCTTTATATATCATGCACCAGGGGATTCTAGTCATCCACATCTTTACACTCCTAGTAGACCACCACCATAGACGGCGATCATGAGACAAAAAAGCGAGTGGAACATGTGCTGGCTTTCGGTTTACTCGTGATGATAGGTCTTTAAAGTATCCAGTCAGTCAATTAAGTAAGTGGGTAGTAACTAAAAAGTGAGTAAAAAAAGAATAGGCAGTAATGAATAAGTCAAAATTGTTCCCAGGATCGACTTTCTCTTAACCTCGGCATTGGAATATGAATGTGTCGTTTTCTTGTTCAGCAATCGCGAGGTTTTTAAACAGCATACACTTACTTCCATAAAAACACAATACAATACAACGCTAGCTGACGTTTCGGCAGTATCGCCTTCTTCAGAGCCTGGAAGGGTATGCTGATATACAATCTACTAGGCCAAACGCTTCAATAACACTTACACAAAGACGAAAAACTCTTTGGTGATTATGTAATTACCAAAGAGTTTTTCGTCTTTTTGTAAGTGTTATTGAAGCGTAGATTGTATATCAGTGTACCCTTCCAGGCTCTGAAGAAGGCGATACTGCCGAAACGTCAGCTATCGTTGTATTGTATTGTGTTTTTCTATGGAAGTAAATGTATGCTGTTAGAATTGTGATTATAACTGCAGCCTCAGCTTAACTTGGTTCGTTGCCGATTTAGGCTTCCCAGATCAATCCCGTTGACAGGTCATTGCTGATGGCAAAAGATCGATAGAACTAGCTGAGAGACAAACGAAACGAAGGACTCGAATGGTGTGGTGGTGAAAGCGTTTTTCTCCGGAAAGGACAATAGCGTGTTCGTTCCCCATTGCAGACACCTGGGGTCTGGAGTTTGGAAATATCTCAGCATCATTGAAAGTTATGTTTCACAATATACCCTTCCGTTAAAAAAAGAATAGGCGGTAAATAATAAGTTGAAATAAGCGAGTAGTATCCACAACGTCTACTTAAAGAAATAGTGTCCACATCATTTACGGGGCAACATGGTGAGCTTCTGGTTGGCAGATAATGGGATAAAATGGACCGAAAGTAAATCGCTGATGCTGATGTCAGTTGAGTAGGAGAAAAAGTTCACGTATATTCTGCATTGGCTTGGTCTGCACCTTCTGAGTACACATGGTCATATTCCTCCACATAAAAGTGCATTTACCTATGCGTACATGCATTGCATCCTTCACTTCGACCCGACCAAAAATCTGTAGTCAACTGAAACAGAATCATATAAATGAGACGGCTCATGGTGGACTTCAAAAAGCCCCATTTCTACTCTCTAGAGACCGATTATTGAAGGTATACATAGCTCCAATGGCAAAACCTGGTGAGCTCCGCTTTAAGTGAAATTTCACCAAAAACAAGCACCTTATTCGGAAAGTGTGATGCTGCTGAAAGGAGCTGTGCACACGGGCGTGTAACCTTAGTGAATGAGGTTCCCGCTCAATTCAGCAGTGATCACCATCACTTATCAGAATAGCGTCAAAATCAAGAGTATTTAAATAACCCAAAGTGTCATCTGACGATGCTAAGTAGAGAGTGTGCCTAGAATGCAAAGGGGAAGTGGTGTTACGTGACTCTAGTTGTCAATCACCAGAGAGAAGGTGATATTGATAATGACCCTAGTCTTAACTCTTTTATTTACTGCCTTTTTCTTCTTAATGGCAGGGTATGTTGTGAAATATAACTCGTATGAAGTGCTGAGATATTTGCAAAACTCCGGACCACAGGTGTATGCAGTGGGGAACGAACACGCGCTGTTGTCCTTACCGGGGAGCAGCGCACTTCACCACTACACCATTCGTATCCGGTGCAAATATCTCAGCACTTCATACGAATGACCCTAGTTTCCTTCTTTTCATTGTAGCTCTTATTATGTAATAGGCTTAGCAACCTTTTATGTTTCATTTAGCCTAGAAAATGAGGAACCTCTTCGTTCTAATTCGTTTTCCTTTTCCTTCTCTTTATCTTACTTTCTTTCCTTCATCAGTTCCTCTTCTCACCATTCGAAACTGTTTTTTTTTCAACAAATGGATGAGTCGAGTTTCTATGTAACATTTGCTGATATACAAGTTCTTTCACTCACACAATATTCACATCACACTTCACGTCTTGATGTTTTGTGTGTTGTTTATCGATGTGGCCAGAAATGTACCTCCTCTGAGAGCTGTAGAAACCACCCATAGGTGTTATGCTGTCCAGAAACATTTGAAATAAGGTGCTTCATATAAAAAAATGAGGTGTTCTTTGAGCAAGCAAGTTAAGATGTCAACCCAAGTTTCGGCTGGGGAGCGATAGGCCGACCATTGGGTCAGAAGTGTGGGCTCGGATTTTTGTATCTTTCACCTGATCTGTGGTTTCTCCTTCTACGTAATTCCTTCTGTATATGTCGTCCTAGGAATACGTAAGATGTGGTCACCATAACCATATAATCCATTTCTTTTCCATCACTAATGCCTTTCATTATCCATCATCGCTAGCAAAAGCATTTCTGTGACGAATTCCTAGGATATGTCGTTCGTCGTGCTTCCTTTTTTTTGCGCTAAAGGGTCCATAGATGCGTTGCTACTAGTTTCAGGATAGGAATTTTATTGTCCATAGTTAGCAATAATAACATTATATTGTTGCCAGGATTTGTGTTACCTTTTACAGTTTACGTGCTACGATGACGGGCACATGGGCAGATAAGGGTCATGTGAATGAGCTGGGATGAGTGGGATCATGTGTGTGGGTGTATGTGTGTATATACGTATGTGATATGAATGTAGGTCTATATGTGTACAAGTGTGTGTTAGGGAGTGTATGCGCACATTGCTAACACCAACGAGTCGCTCCGTCACCTTATGCTTCCAGAGAACGTTTCCATTTAAACGTCACGAAAATCCTTATCAGATGTCACACGTGATTACGGCATTTTGGCTGTGGACTTGATTGGTCGTAAACGTCGCTATTTCATGTGTGTGTGCTGAGACCTATCATGGACCTTATCAAACGGTTGATATGGTCGTTTCTGGAGACGATAGCCTCCTCTAATATGTCATCAAAGTTCTGAATAATCGTCAAGCTGAAAAAAGTTGTATACCAGCTCAAGTGGTGACGATATTATGACACAGTGCCTATAACAGGCACGATCTTTAGCGAAAGGAACTACTGCATAGATTAGGCTCCAACGAGAAAAAGGATCCTTCTTGGTATATTTCATCTTCCATAGGTTGTGAGACAGTGTCGAAATTTTCCTTGAAAGTTTTCCCTCATATAGTTTATCTTCTTGTTTGCATGTTCCGTTTTTCTTTACTGCCGATAAAAAATACGCTGAAAGTGAGTTTCTTGACAACCGTGACAGATCTGAATTGACATAGGCTATGTGTTCGCAGTTATCAGAATTCTCTATAAAAGTGTCTCCGGTCTCCGTGTTGGGACCATGTGTTGGGTAGTTAATGTGATTGGGTTGTAGATTGAAGTTGTATCTCAATAAGATTATAACCCCTTGGAAAACTAACACATATTGCTGAGGAACACTAATTATAACTCAATAAAGTGCATCTCCAAATTAAAAATGAATCTAGGGCGTGTGTAGCGCAGTGATTAAACGCACCCTGAAATACACATGGGATAGACCCCGGGGTCCCGGGTTCACCAATCCCTCGCCTTCCATCCCTCCCAGGTTGGCAAATTGGTACCGGACTCTTTCGGTAGGATAGCAACACTGATTCCATGTATCAACAGGCCGCCGCGAGTCATTGTGTAGGCTAGATATGCATTCAACCGCTTCTGACGATGCTCCCAAATCGAATGCATGGCGCACCACTCAAAGTTGACCAAAGCCGGGAGCTTTAATTTGAAGTGTAGCTAATTATTCGAAAATATAATCCGGGTTATGATAAGTGATACTATGCTGGTTGAATTTTTCATTTAGTCTGAGGTCACCGCTCACAGCTGCTGGTGGTCGGTTCCTTAGGCGGTGCTATTTCTACTGACAGTATAAGAAAATTAACTTCAAGGGAACGGTATTCACTATAAGGCGTACGTTTTTATGAAACAAACTGTTTGAAATCTACCGCACTCGTATTGTTCCATATTTTTCCAACAAAACTAGCATTCAAAATGCAACGAAGACATTGCTAACATTCAAGGTGTGTACAAATCTCAGTTGCTAAACATGTAGAGTACTGCAAAGGCTAATTGATTTATTGATTTGATATATGGATCCCTTAACCACTCTTCTCACTCTTTTGAACTATCTCAGTTTGCTTCATCTCTGTTCCAGACAGAAATGGAAGCGATTTATTTTCAGACCTATGCAAAGAGTGTTGTTTTGTGCTTCTGTGTCGGCGCTACTTCGACTCGAATACTTACTCGCAACTGCTGTTCTAAACGCTTTAAAACCTGACTGGTCACAGAGCAAGGTGAGGAACAACTTCAGAGAACTTCATCAATGTCTTTAGATGTGTACTCTTGCAATTTATTCTATATATTTCTCGCAGATTGGTTGTCATGAATTCATTTCGACTCATTGCATGCGGCTGTAGATTAGACATCGATTAGACGCGATATCAACACGAGATTAGACATGCAAATCTAACTGGTAGCACATATCGACCGAACTGTATTGGGCACAATGCATCTGATTCGATCAAACTTTATCAGTTGGAACGAATTCTATTGGGGTCTATGTGCAGATCTTTGCCTACGAGATGCATGTCCTTGAGATTTTGCTTTCCTGGAGACATTGACATGTATTTCTTGCACTTTTCTGCGTCAGTGCTCGTATTTCGAGCATAGAAGGGGCTCACGTGGCTGGGTTTCGTCCAGCAGGAGGAAATGGTGTTACCTCTGTATCGTTTACATTTCCAACTGCCGTGCTTTCGTCGGAAATCTCGAAGTTCCCCATCGTTTCTCAGTTTTTTGGGTTTTAATTTTTAATGGACTTACATATAGATACTTACATGCACAACATATTTAAAGCTGAAATAATGATGTGTGAGAACTACAAACACTACCAAATGATAGAGCAAAGTCTCTTCTATGTCTCTACGTTGTTCACAACTGCTGAAGTAATCAATTTGAAGCAGAATTTATCGTTTGTTCGAAAACCAGCTTCGGGTATTGGGGGTTAAATCTTTTAGCAATGTTGATGAACGACACTAAACCGTACTTTGTCACCGTAATGTAGTTTTGTTTTTGTTTTTATTTTCAGTTCTTTTTAGAAACGTACTTTCTCTGTGCGTGTTGTCTCGTTCACTCATGCCACACTTTCATCTATTGGATGTCTCTACAGGTAAATTTTCTTTTGAAGATATAAATGCGAAAGGCCCCAGATACGTGAAAATCACAGAGGCTCCAACGGCGTCTGAGGCCACGTCGATTTTTCGCGAGAGTCGAAACATAACAATGGTTGTTGGTTATTACTTAGTTGCTTAAGAATCGTTGGTGCTTAGCGAAGTGAATTTTGCACCGAAAACATGCTTTTTTGAACGATCCATCTTCTACACTAAGTTTCCATCAACACTGGGTGAAGCTCATTAGTTAGATGTATGTATTAGTTCGTTTGAGAGCAAGGCAAAACAAAGTTTTCTCCCTAACACGTGGGCGACCACATAATAGTATGTGGTTGCTATGTGGAGTGAAATGTGTGAGTCATATATAATGCATCCGTGGATCGTATATATTGCATCTCTTTTCGGCTGTTTATTAAACCGCATAGCCGCATAGGATTTTTTGTCAAATATATCTTACGCATCCAGTCACTTCAGAAATGTTTTGTTATTTGCAAAAAAGAGCTATTATTCATAACAGTTTTCTTCTCGTCCTGCCACAGAAACGGTTTCTGATTAAAAAAAAAACGAAGATAGTGAAGGGAGTGTCAAGATGAGGGGACTACAAAGGTGATCCGATCCCTTTCTTGGTAACCTTACAATTAAGGTAGGGGACGTGGCAGACCACGGTAACCAAATATGGTTCTTAGAGTGCGTGGAACACAAGCCGTATACAGTGTATTAATAATTACGTGATTAGTTTGCTTTTGGAGAGATTTATTCTCCTTTCATTCTAATTTATCAATTGGTGTCAAAACTTTTCAGTCTTCTTTCCGATCCGAACTACTTCAAGGATTCGTACGTTTACAAAACAGACTCGGCACAATACGTTTTTCTGTTCACGATGGGTGAGTATTTCTGTTTACTCCATTACGGGTACTGCACTGTTTAGAAGTGTGGGAACAACTTCTTTCTATATTTCAGGTTATTTTATTTACGATTTGATCGATATGTTCATTCATGGAGAGGCGGGATACTCGAAAGAGTACATAATTCACCACTCTCTTGTAGGTTTCTTTTTTGTTAAATGTTATGTCCTACATCCAGGGGGTGGATAGCACAGTGATAGTGATGTCCGTCATCACGAGCATGGTGCTAGTTTGATTCTATTCCTGGCCAACCAAGCCTCTAATCATTCCGGGGTCTGGACAGGAACGCTCCAGCCCGGCTATCTCAGGACTCCAGGGAGTGCTGCTCGACCAGCACTCCACGACATTCTAGATGAAATGAGAATTTTCAAGCAGCAACCGAAGCCACATGTAAAGTTGGACGATCTTTGTGGATAGTGGATGCGAAGAAACGAATCGAATATGAGAAGTGCTGGGATCCGCACAGTAGACGTGAAGACGGGTAATATAAAAATAAAAAAAACGTGAAATTAAAAGTAAATATGTCCTGTATCCAGACTACGTAGTTCATTGAGCAGTTTGTTTACCATCACAGTGCTCTTTTAATGTGGACATTGCAGGTGATCGTTGTATTTTCTATTATTTTAATTACTGGAAAATTATTCGGTTTCGCAATGATTGGGTTGTTAGTTGAGGTATGTTTACTTGTTTGCAATTGACCAGCCTTTTTTATGGAGTGATATTTTCTGGGATATGTGTTTTTTCTATAAGCTTTGTCACAAGATGCTAAGATATTCTTCAAGGTTTTCCCAATCAGTATGGGAAATAGGCCAAAGCGGAAATCAATCCCAACCGTTTCTGTAAATTCCCTGTAGAGAATAAAGACTTTACCTTAGGAAAACATTTAACCACTGAAAAAAGAACATGCCCTACTGAACGTATTTCATAAATTATCATAAGTTTTAAAGTTCCGATTACTGTAATGTATCAAAAATTTCAAGGCTGTCTTGATTCAGGTGCAGACGATTTTCCTTCACTTGCGCACGATGGTTCGTTTAGCCGGTCATTCAAAACGTGGCACTCCAGCCTATGATTTCCTCATCAACGCAAATATGATATGCTTGTTCCTCTTCAGGTCAATTTTATATTAATATAAGATTGTTTTTCTGTCCATGTATAGTGGTTCGACTAGATTATAGAAGGTGTATTCAATCAGGCTAGCCGTGCTAGTAAAAGCTGTATAGAAGATGAAACACGGTGTGCACGAAACAACTTGGGATCCAAAAAATTGTGAATTTTTGACAAATTCGCCAGCAAATGGATTAAGACACACACATGGCTTGTTACTTAGGAACTTCCTGTTCTCCTTCAACGTCGTTGAAATTTGTCGTGTTGATTCTTTTCGGAATCCTGAGGTTTATCTGCTAGGGGGTTTCTAGTGGTTCACCACAGACAATCGTGGGCCATTGTGGCTCACCAGTTTGCCGACCCTTAACGAAAGGAGGCTTGGCTGATTTGGGAGAATGTCGAACCAGGGACTATACGTTTGTCGATGGCATCTGTAACCACTACGCCTCTCCTGCCGTTTTGGATCCGGTGCTTGAAATAGACGACATGTAGTTGTTATAGGGAATTTTTTTCATATGTTAGAGGTTCCTTGTTGTGAATGTTCTGTGAAGCATCCACGTTTTCAAATAACTAAATTTTGGTGTTTTAAGGCACATTCCAGCAACATATCTGTTATATGCAATGCTTTTCAAAGATGTAAACACTCCATTCGTTCTTCGTTCGGTGCTGATAGGAGGACTTGGATTTCTCACCTACCATAACGTACATTTAACTGTGGGTTCATATTCTTTACAGAATGTTCATATGAAAGCTCAAAAATAATCGCTTAAAGGAAATATCGTTAGCTGACATCCAAGAAGTGCGACAAATATTTTGTCTATTTCTCGTGACAATTAATTGGATTTCATTTCTTCTGTCTTTTTTCTATAGTGTTTCCGTTACGTTTTGATACATTTTTACTTATTTGTTTGCTTATCATTATTATTTATTTTCATTTATTCTATTATTCATCACTTGTTTGTCTGTTTATTTATTTCATTTATTTTTTATGTGTTTATTTTTTCACTTTGTTTACTTATTTTTTTAATTTTATCGTTTTTTATCTTGTTTTAATCAATCAGTGTGACAATCTTATGGAGGAATAAGCAGATAATGAACATGTGAAGCCCGATATGCATTGATTTCACTACGCGTGTTTCCGAAAAACAGTCGCACCGTTCAACATTATAAAGGCACATTCCAGCCGATGGTGTGCATTGCAAATTGAAATAAAGGCTCTTAGAATTTACAGATCTTTTCCTATAAGGCGTAAGCTCTGTGTACAGCGACGCGGTGGTCTTATAACTTTCTAAAGCCTATCAAAGAAGATTTTGTTCCTTTCTTTTTACTTGTAGCTCGTATTTGTAACAGCCAAGCGATGAAACAAGTCGTATTTCACTCAGAAGCACATGTGTGCCATCATCAAATCACCGATGTTTGCGGCTACTTTACCCTCACTGAAAATTTGAAAATTTGAAGTTTAAATAGATCTAAGTTTACAAGGACATCTTTAAAATGTTTGTTTTCATTTTTTTACGATACAGTAGTTTCTCTTATTTAACTGTATCGAGTTCCTAACTCCTCAAGTAGTCCAGTTATCGAAAATTCATAAGCAGATGTCGAACAACCACCATCGAACCCCATGCCGTAATTGTTTGTTCGATGTTGATATGAGAAATTGTTCAGATGTCACAAATGTCATTTCAGACTTCAATAGTTTTTAGATGTCAATGATGAAAACTGACGGGTTTTTCGGTTACGAAATGCAATATCTCGACGAAGACGATGTTGATCCACTTGGTTCCGTCAAGGCGAAAAAGTCGGAAAAGCAGTAACTATTACCTTCTGCATGGCTCGTAGTCCATAAATTAAGCGAGGTGACGTCCTCGACTAACGAAATGTTTGCTTTTTATCATCGTGGAGGTGTTCTGCTTTCTATCTCTTTATAATTTGCATATTATATTAGCGGTGGTAACTAATTCTAACTGTCGAGACCTTTATACTTTTGATCGATGTGGTTATGCCGAGGTAGTGTTTTATATGTCTTTCATTCATAAGCCACTTATCTTAGCAGTCATCTATCTGTTGTGGTTTGCAGTTTTCTTTACCGCAAGTCATCTGCATCGGCTTATTACTCCATAATATTATTTCCAAGTTATATTTACTACGGTTTCTCCTAGATGGGTACCAAAATCTGATAAGACTATTTTAATACGAGTCATTATCTCGGATAATGTCAGTATTGAAAACCAAGTAGGAAGTATTGGCTCGTTGATGTTTAATTATGTTAATAAATGTCGTTAATGATTTGAGCTGGACGCGTCTCTGTACATATTCGAGACATTTTGGACTTAACGTCTAAGTATTGCGATCAGAGTGATCAATTTGTACATATGGGGTCCACCTTCAGTTTTGCGCTCAATCTTGAGGAATCCTTGAGGGATACCATGCATATAGGTCTATAAAGTATCGGAGAAATGGTCGAACGCGTATTTGGTCTTTATATTGACTTTCGGTTACCCAATGATCTATCAAGTCACTGTTTTCCTCTTGGACAAGTCTCGTACCAACTCACGGTCGGCGGAGAGACGGTAGGCTAGCCTAGCCCATGAAGCGGGAGGAAACGAATGAGCACATGTTGCTGTCGAGCATCTCCAATCATTGAGCTAGACACATGTCTAACAACGTATTATACATGGTATATAACAGTTTGTGTGGATAGCAGCCGTTTAGTGTGAAAACCACTTGACAAACAAAATGAACACTTTTTTTAGAACGGCAGATGCTCATTGGTTTCACAACTGTCTCTTATCAGAAGAGGAAGAAAAATGGAGATTTTCGATGCCTAAAATCTCATCAGCCGACACCAACTAGGACTGAATAATTAGCAATATGTCCAAGCTGATTGTTTACCAACCGATTGTAGTATGTTAATTGAATTGACGTATCCAACTGGACTTTATATATCATCCAAAATGAGAATAAGCTCGAGATTTTCATCTCTGAGCTCAATTAAGAATGAAGCAATGTTTCGATTCCTCATTTTCTTCCAAGAAATCCAGTTCGAACATGGTGTGTGTCCCGTCTAGGTGCAAGTAACAAAGCTTGCCTTGTAACGGATTTCTCGACAGTTAAGGGA